CAGTCTCAGTTTCGTGCTTTCTTCTTGAAAACATTATAAACATAGCTTATTATCAAATAATATATATTTCTTATAATCATTTAATGGGTAAATTTGGTCTTGTGTCTCAGATATGTTATTATTATACACTAAGCTAATACTCTGTACAACTATTTAATATATGATCCATTTTTTACACAATGTTATGCACATTTGGCCAACTTCTGATACGAAATAATATTAATCTTTGCACGTAATGATTTTTTTCCGTACTGTAAGAAATATGTATTATTGTATTTGATTCATACTATGATCCTTGTTAGTTTATTTGCATTATAACGATATGGTTTTTGGAGATGGAATTAGACCCTAAAATATTACATTTGAGGTAAATACTAGCGTAAAAGAAAGTCACTAAACACTTAAATTTCATGAGTTGTGCAAGAAGAGGTATTGAGTTGAAAGACATAACAACAAGGTCTTTCATGTTTGATTTGTTTTCAGCAACTCAAGGGAATTACTGCCCTGTATATGTTAACTAACTCAAGTAGTGCGTGCAGATAGCAGAATAACGTGAGCGGTTTCCGACCTCTTTCCATGTCGGAAGTAGGTTATATCAAAATGTTTCATTGAAGTCACTGCCACATCTATTCAAGCATTAATTAAAGTCTAGAGAAAAAGCAAGTTGCGTGGATTAAAAATGCGTGTTTTGTCCGTCTTTTAAACCAGAAAACAAAAAACAACTGCATCTTTATTATAGGAGAAGCATATTATGCTATTATATATATATATATTCATTTATTTATTTATTTACATATATTAATATTTACTCTGTATTTGTGAAACAACAACAACTGTATTTATTTATTTTTTCTAGTTAAATCCACCATAGTACGTTATAACACTCTGGCTACTAAGATCTCTAAGATGTACAAAAATGAGAGAGATATCTTAATAAAATAATTAAAATCATTCAACGTTTAGAAATGCACAATAATTTATTGTATAAGTTAAAAGTAAAAAGAGAATTAAAAACTCTACACATTTCGGCGGAAAAGTTCCACCATCTTCAGGAGATCAGAAGAAATACAGGGAATTTCATTTCTTATTTTCATACCAGTAAGTGCACGTGTATAATTTGCATATTATACAGTGCCATATACAGAATAGATTTCCAGAAATTCAACTCTGTGGCACCAGGGCTAAATCTCTATTCTGTTTCTAATTATTATTTCTAATTAAGTACAAAGCTACACAATGGGCTATCTGTGCTCTGCCCTCATACCACTGTGCCACTGGGGGGGGGGGGCGATCTCTATTCAAAATAATTTTATGTTTAATAACTTCAAAAGGTTCTTGTATGTTTATTAAATGAAATAGTCTCCATTCTTAGCTTACATCTTTTCCATCTTCCAATCAGGTTGTTAATGCCCTGATGAAAGAAATCACTTGGCTTTGAAGCGAAAAACATGTAGATGTCCTCTTTAACACCTTCCACATTTGCATAAGTTTTCCCAATAAGATGGTGTTGCAGCGAACGAAAAAGATGGTAATCTGATGGTACCTTAATTGGAGAATATCTTGGGTGGGGGAGAACTTCTTACCACAACTCTATAATTATGTGTCGCGTCAAATGTGATACATGTGGACGTGCATTGTCGTGGAGAAGAACAAGTTTCCGATTGACAAGTGAAGGACGTTTCTGATGAAGGGCTTGATTTAAACGTTCCAGTTGCTGACTGTAGATATCTGCAGTAACAGTTTGCTGTGGATTGATGAGTTCGAAATGAATTACTCCTTTGATGTCCCACCAAATGCAGAGCATTACTTTCTGCGGATTGAGTCCAGGTTTTGGGGTCGGAAGTGGTTTTTGTCTAGGACTGAGCCATTGTTTTCGGCGTTTAATGTTTGTATAGATAATCCATTTTTCATCACCGGTGACTATTCTGTCCAAAAATGGTTCACGCGCATTACGCGCCAGAAGAGACAAAGCAACATTCACACGTTGGAAACGATGATCATCAGAGAGTTCGTGAGGCACCCAAACACCTTTTTTTATGGAGTTGTCCCATATTCTTTAGATGTTTACGTATTGTTTCATGAGAGACA